GCTCTGAATGTTTTCTTTTATGTTTTTTTTAGCAATAAAAACACTTAATTAAACGAAATTCAATCATCCATATTCACAATTTCTGCCACAAATACTTCCATTTTGTTTTGTGTTTCATTTGTTCCACCTCTCGGAGATATTTATGCTATTTCCCTGCATAAAATCTAGTGCAATCTATAGCAAAAATAAAAATTGTCGAGTCACATAGTCCCCTATTTGGTGTTTCTTCTGATACAAATTGGCATTGAAACTAAGCTGCAAAACTCTTTCCAAAATTGGAAACTTCACAGCCAATTGATCTGTTCTAAAATCTTCTGCGAATACGAATGTACGACAAACAATCACTAGTCGCAGTTTTCAGAGCTTACAAGCCACATATGTACTTATGTGGATCGTCATTGATAAGTTCCTCTTTCGCTTGCGGGTTCTGCCTCAATGCCTCTGTCTCTGCCTCGAACATAATCAAATTGCTGGCTTTGCAGTTTTAATTTCGATTTGATCAGCACAAAAACCTACAGAAGCGAAATAAACTTGGAGACTGGAGACGAAGCACCTCTCTGGGTTTGTTGTCAAGCGCATTTCAATTTGCATTTTCCACTTTTGACTTGCGACTCGTTTTTCTGTGTCACTTTTGAGGAGAGGCCCCTCAACCTCTCCATCTCCTTGTCTCTTCAGCTGTCTCTCTGCCTCTGTCTATGTGGAACAATCGGGCATCACGTGTTTGGGCTTTTGCCATTCGTTTAAGTTTGTTTTTTTTTCTGTTCATTATATTGTATTTCCCACTGTTGTGAGCTTCAGTCTCAGTCTCAGTCTCAGTTTCAGTTTCTATTTCTGTTAATGCAACTGATTAAATGACTTACAGATTGACTGCATGAATGTCTGAAGGGGTCGTTATCGAGTGAAGGCGGTCAAGGCGGAAGATGGTTGTACGCTTTGACCAACTGCAAAATGCTTTTCATGCACAAAACTAAAGAAAAAGCAAGGAATTAGTACAAAAAACAAGCACAAGTGTACTTTACTCAAAAGAAATTGACAGGGGATTTGAAATTGATACCAGATAACTGATTAAAATGATGGTAGTACTTTCTGTGAACTTTGCTCATGGATCTCTAAAATAAGTATAAGAGATTTGACTAAAACTGCCGTAGTCAAACCTTTAAATTTACGTTCTAAAGCATGAATCAGCTAAAGTTCCCTACAAAAAACAAACTTCTTAGAATAGTTAACTATTTTCCCTTAAAAATACAACAGAGTTAATTAACAATTCCATTTCAGTCGTATTTTCTATTCCCTTGAGCCTCTTTTGGAGGATACCTCTCTACGCCCTGCTCTTAAATCATCTATCAGCACTTGCAAAGGTTCCCCCCCACAGAGTGCAAAATAACCTGGGTAATTGCCACAATTAGATAAAGAGCCCATTCCTTAGGAGGGTCATCGCAAGGGAGGACAAAAGCGGAGAAGCGGAGTGCGAGAACTGAGATTAATAATGGAATATGGGCCAGGTGTCGTTTGGCTCGAATCCAATATCAATGGTAGGAGAGAAACGTTTTTTTCGAAACGAAGACCCAACTGTAGGAGACAAGTTCAGACATATCGATGTTTGTATACACCCAGAGATGTCGATCAGATGGTATTCAATCGACTATAAAACTAATCGCTGCACATGCAAATCACATCAAATCCGTTCAAGATATTTTCAGACTGTAAATATGGTCACGGCAGACGTGGTTTCTGCTTTTGGGCTTAGGGAACCATTAAACGAGGATCGTTCTATGCATGATCAAATATTCCCTGCAAAATGACATCCCCATTCCCAGATCTTGCTAAGCCGCATTCGATTGTACGACTGCAGCCGAATGAAGTATCTGAATATCTGCGTTCTGCGTATACAAAGAGGTCTGTTTCGAGTTGCTTGGATTTGAGTGGACTGGACTATCGGAGTAGCGAGAGGAAAACAATTTATAATACAACAAGAAATACATGCAATTATTGATTTTTTAAGTAGTGCCGTATTTCTGAGATTGTTTTCCCCCTGTATCTACCCCCCTCCCACCTGTATTTGTGTGTGTTTCTCTATTGTCTCTAAACGAATAATATTCGCACGTATTCGCATTTGTCTGTGCGTGGGGGAGGAGGGGGGGGGGGGGGGGGGGGGGGGGGGGGGGTGAGGCGGAGGAAGGAGAAATTCCCGACCATACTCTGAAGACACGAGAGACTCGCATTTCAGTTGCGTCGCGACTGTGAACGTCTCAAGCGGTTATCTGCCGGGAAGAGCCCTCGAGAACAGATTCAAAAATCGGTATTAGATCTAATAAAAGTGCAGATAGTGCATTAGGAGAGCCCAAAAGCAGTGGTAGATAGAAAAGGATTTCGAACAGATAGAGAAGACAGAATACAATTTTCAACGAAACAATCTTCAAATACATTTCTAAGATGAAACTTAATCGCATGAAGCTGCTCTTTGGCTCCGCGGGCACCCTCGTCTTTGCCATTCTCTTTGGCTGGGTTATGTTCCCAAAGATACTCAAGTTTATGATCTCAAAGGTTCGAAAAATGTTTATTTCCAGAAGAAGTAGCTGCATATTTCTAACGAAAAGTATCTTCAATACGTAGCAAGTAACTCTAAAGGTGGGCACGGATGTCAGGGAACTCTGGTCAAATACTCCCTTCCCCCTTCACTTTTATTTCTACGTTTTCAATGTTACTAATCCGGATGAGGTATCCGAAGGAGCTCGTCCGCGTCTCCAGGAAGTGGGTCCCTTTGTTTTCGAGTGGGTTTTTGCCATCTATAACTGAGATTCAAGTTGGAAATGATTTTCCTTTCAATGTTTGCAGTGAATGGAAGGACAAGATTGATCTGGTGGACGATGCTGTAGAGGATTCGGTGACATTTACCATGAGGAATACTTTTATTTTCAATGTGGAGGCATCGTATCCACTGACTGGAGAAGAAATAATCACCCTGCCACATCCGATTATGCAGGTAAGAGGTGAACAGATACTCCCCAATTTCATTAGATACTCTCTGAGGTTTCATATTGAATCTATGAAGTACACATGGATGGACCTAATGACTCACGTGTCTGTCCCCCATTGTTATCTATCTATCTCTCTCTCTATATGTGGGAATTATGCAAATGGAATTCTCAGCTATAAAAATCTGAAAATCATATAAAAAGGGCAATTAATTAGATACTTATCCGAGAGATACGCATTAGAGGTTTTCTAGGAAGCGTTCCCACGTTCATTCATTCAATCGATTAATCATATTTTTTGTATTTTTCCCTTAAATTTCCTCTAGCCTGGTGGCATCACGGTGCAGCGTGAGCGTGCAGCCATGATGGAGTTGATAGCCAAGGCAATGTCTCTGGTGTTTCCTGGGGCCAAGGCCTTCCTCTCCGCCAGGTTTATGGATCTGTTCTTTCGTGGCATCGATGTGGACTGCTCATCGGACGAGTTTGCTGCCAAGGCCCTGTGCACCGTGTTCTACACTGGCGAGGTGAAGCAAGCGAAGCAGATCAACCAGACGCACTTTTTATTCTCATTTATGGGGCAAGTGAGTGTGCTTCGGGAATGCTCTTGCCTCTGAAGATCCTCTCAAGATCTCTCTCTCTCTCTCTGTCTCTTCTTGTAGGCCAATCATTCGGATGCTGGACGCTTTACTGTATGCCGTGGCGTGAAAAACAATAAGAAGCTGGGAAAAGTCATACGATTCGCAGGGGAAGCCGAGATGGATGTGTGGCCGGGGGATGAGTGCAACCAATTTCAGGGCACTGACTCCACCGTGTTTCCCCCTGGTCTTCGCAAGGATGAGGGCCTGTGGGCCTTCACACCCGATCTGTGCCGATCGTTGGGGGCCACCTATGTGAGGAAGTCCTCGTATCATGGCATGCCATCCACCAGATACACTCTGGACTTGGGTGACATGCGTTCGGAGGAGAAGCTGCATTGCTTCTGCGATGATCCCGAGGATCTGGACACGTGTCCGCCCCGGGGCACCATGAATCTGGCACCCTGTGTGGGCGGTCCTCTCTTGGCCTCCATGCCGCACTTTTACAATGCGGACTCAAAACTTGTGGCAGCCGTGGATGGCCTTAATCCAAATGAGAAGGATCATGCAGTTTATATAGATTTTGAGCTGGTAAAAAAGGCAGCGAAGTTCAAATATTTCTATATTTATTTACATTCCCTTTGCAGATGTCTGGCACGCCCTTTCAGGCGGCCAAGCGTCTTCAATTTAATCTCGACATGGAGCCTGTGGAGGGCATTGAGGCACTGAAGAATCTCCCAAAGCTCATCCTTCCGCTCTTTTGGATCGAAGAGGGCGTGCACCTGAACAAGACATACACGAATATGGTCAAGTACACGCTGTTCCTGTACGTAATCCTTGTGCCCCTAAAAAGTGCCTTCTGTTTTCACAGATCCCTTTTCTCCCTTTTTCTTTTCAGTAGCTTGAAATTCAACTCCGGCCTGCGTTGGACTCTCATCACCCTCTCCCTGGTGGGCCTGATGTCCGCTGCATATCTTTTTTATCAGAATTCCGATAGCCTGGACATTACTTTGCCACCGAAGATCCTCAAGGAAGTCAACAAAGTGGCCGATGCGGCCATGAATTCAAAGCCCTTGGCTCCAAAGGCCCCTATCATGCCGCAGGCGACTATTCCGGGCACCAATCCTATCGCCCAACCTCCTACAGGCATTCCTCCATCTGTGGCCTCATCTGTTCCAGGCATTTCTCCACTGCCAAATCTCAAGATGGAGCAACGAGAGCGCTTTTAGAGCCAAGAAAGAGAAAAAGAGAAAGATCGATGCGATCTTTAGGATCCACTGTACCCTGTACACATCACCCACTACCCTCTGTAGTTTCTTAGCAGGGAAGCACGTAGAAGCAATCCAAATGCCAATAAAATGCTACAGAAAATCTGAGAGATTTCTGATGAATATAAATCATCAAATGAGCAGCGAAAAGCCACTGAAATGTCCAAGAAAATTAATTATAATATTTATTGAAATAAAGGTAGTATCTCGCACTCTGTTTTAAATTATTTGCTCAATTATCTCCACAGTTGAGTGTCGAGTCCTCCTCCCAAAAGGTTACGTCCTTGGGGACTTGCACGCCTCTTAAGAGCTCCCTCAAGTGCTCACATTTAAACTTATCTTCATTGACAAGTAAATCATAGTCCACATGCTTGATGTAAATCTCTTGCAGTTTCTCCTGATTTATCTCTAAGAAGTTGAGATCTTTTAACTCGGAAATAATATCGGTGGGATACGTGAGGCTCAAGCGCTTCAACTGCTTCGATTTCCATTTATAAGGCACATCCTTGAGCGTTTCGATGGCAGGCAGATCCAAGTCCATCAACCTAGTGGCTTTTGATAGGAAACCCAGACTCGAAAGATTCGCATTGGTCAAGTAGAGCTGCTCTAGGGTTTGAGGTTGTGTAATTCTGACATCGCCCAGATGAAAATTGTTCTCCAAATAAAGACTGATGATGCGGCCATCAAGGATCACAGATGTTAGACCACAATTGGTGGCCTGCAGCTCCTTGATGTCTCCTTTCAGATGAAGTTGCGTAAGCTGCGGGTTATCCGATATTATAAGATATTCCATCGATGCAAACATATGCATGGATATACGTTCTAGCAGATTATTTCTAACTGAAAGGAGTTTCAAGTCTTTGAAGAGTCCCCTGGGGAGTTCATTTAAAAGATTTCTGTCCAGATTTACGCTTTGAAGTTCCTTTAAAGGGGAGAAAACATCTGGAGAAACAATCTTCAAATGATTGTTGGATAGATTAAGTTGTTGTAACTTTTTGAGAGCTAAAAATACTCCTCTAGGGAGTTCCTCCAATATATTGTCGGATAAGTTCAAGTTCTCCAACTCTGTCGAAAGCTCAAAGGTGTTTCCTGCGATTTTCTTTATAGCATTTCCTCCTAGATTGAGTATCTTCAAGTTCTGCTCACCGCCTCTAAAGCACTCTCTTTCTATGTGCTGCACCTCACTTTCCAGAACATGAAATTCCGCTAGTTGTGGCAGACTGTGAAAGACATTTCTTGGTAGATTCGTCAATCGGGAACTGTGGATAACTAGTGCCTTGTAGTCATTTAGTTGATTCGTTATATTCTCTCCAAAAAAGGCCACTTCTGAGGCAGATGGATACTCCAATCCAACACAGAGGCTCTCCTGACAGTCCAGTCGCTCCACTGCCACTTCCTTTAGCTGAATCCGGCGGCTCTTCACTGCTTCCATTTCCTTTATCAGCATTTGTGACTCACAATTGGAGGCTACAAACAGCAGAATCGTCAACAGATCTTCTAATTTTCGCAGCGACAACATCTCTGTGGAGCTATGTTGATAAAGAACTAACCATAGAACTGGATTTGAGATTCTTTTATGCGACATTTTCGACGAGCAATCAGAACACGACCTTCGGTAAAAACATTCAAAGAGAGCATCCAAAAACTGGTCTACAACTTTTGGGTTTTTGTTGTGTTTTTCTGGTCATAATAATTTATTATTCCTCTGCTATGAATATTCGGCAGAGCTCCTCCGCTCAGCGATTATTTTTGTTAATTTCGAAGCTATAGACGGGCGATAAGCACGTTCTCTCCACTCGACACTCGACACTCGACGGAGTCCCCCCAAATCGAGTTATCCCATAAATAATTGGCATTTTGAATATCAGCTGATACGACGGGCGTGGGGTGCCTCTGTGTCGCACCCAGCCACCCAGAAAGTACACCTCAGTTCGGGCCTATGAATGTATATTCAATCAGGATTAACCATTTCCATTATTATTTATAGAAAATAAATTTCTGTCCCCTATATTTGCATAGAGTTTCCCCCTTGATTCAGTTTTAATTTGGTTACATTTTGCTATTCCTCCAAAAGAGGTTCGAAAACAATTTCACCATATCTCACCATAGCTTTTATTACTTCAACAGCATGTCCCTCATTTTTGGTGCTGCTATTTTATTTTATTCATCAATATTTATAGCAATTATATGTATGCTATCTTGCAGTACCCCTGGAATCCACATATTCTTATCAATATTATGGATTAATTCCTTTGCACTTTTCCACTAACAAGATCCATCCCTTATTACTCATAAACAGCCATTAAAATCTTCAATCGTCTATTTTATGCATTAAATTGTAAGAGTACTTAAAATACTGTAAACCCCGAAGTAATGGCCCTGCATTAGAGTGCAAAATATCGCATTTCTACCCTCTAGAATTATATAATTATATCATCATTCTGTGAACAATTTCGTCATCGTCATCGTCATCGTCCGAACTTACAGTTCCTTTGATTTATTTCAACAGTAAAATCTTAAACATTTAGCGCCTGACTTGAGCAATAAAACTAATGAAATAAATAAAGTGACATAAACTGCCAGAAGACGCCATATAAAAGCTTCGCAGACCCCACAATAGACCAGACTTTACTCGTAAAAGTAAAAGCATGACTGATGGCTATATAGTATCTACATAAATATGTAAGAGCACGTATTCCCTTGATTTGTATGGCATTTGCTGGGGGAACTTTCGTTTGTTTTATTGAAAATTCAGTCTAAGGTGGAAGCGAGGCAGGCAGCGTTGTGAATGTGGATCGACACACAGAAAGCGAACGAATGGAAGAAAAAATGGGCAAAATGTTGACACTAGGGGAATCAAGAAGCAACTCTCGGCCTTCGAAAGATCTCACTCTGTTAGTTATATCCTCAGAAATACAGCGTCCCGTTGCATCCAACATGGTGGGTGAGAGGGAGCCCTACATTCTGATGATGATTCCTTCTTCTCTCCGCGTGATCTTGGGCTGTATGCAAAGTAATTGCTGGAAATTGAATTGAAAATAAGAGTGCGACATTCGTTTCATATCGCTAAACGAAGTCATGCCATTCCAATTGAGAACCCAAGCAATATAAATAGGCAGACACCGATACATATGTGTGTACATATGGCTCGAATAATTAAATAGCCATTGGACTACTAATAATCTTTAAACAATAAACAACTAATCGCTGGAAGATCAATAATAATTTGCATTGACAGGGGGAGTATTACTATTTTGTTTGCTTGGAATAAAAACTGAAATCCTCTGCTCGGAAAATGTCAGGCGCTAATTCATAACAAGAGTGTGCATTTGTTTGTTGAAAGCTTTAACCGACTTTGAATTTGAATTCGTTCAACAATTTAAATTCTTTATTGTTGTCGGTTGTTGTGTCATTCGTTGAGCTGCAAAATAATTGAGCGACAGAAAAGCAAACGACTTCGACAACGACGATTCCGTTAATAAAATGTGTTAATATTTTAGATATTGTACATTAATTAAAGTGCGTCTTTTTTTATCTAATAAATATTAAAATTGTATGTTAAATCTTCCTAAATAAACGCAATGAAATATTTCCACTTGTTTTCCATGGGCGAAAATATCCCAGTCATATGGCCAAGTGTCTGCTTATCAGTAGCCAAATGATTTCCACCTTCTGTGCGACGCAAACAAAAGCTTCAAGTAAATTAAGTAAATAATACTTCCATGATAAGAGGCCAGACACAAGAGAAAGAGCTTGTTTTCGCTGGACATTTCATGGGTTGAAATCTGTTTATGACCATAACATAGGAACTCTCCATAGAACAGAAGCACCACCAGTGTGAAACTACCAGAGCGCACAACTTCAGACAGACAAAAAGTGTCGCTACTCTGTGAAGAAAAACCCCAACCAAGCAATGATTCGAATGAAGTACACATGTCGAAAATGATGATGACAACAAAATAAAACAGATTACATTTTTCTGCTGCAGACGATTACATACTACATTGGAGTACAGTCGCACATTTATTATTTTACCCATAAAAATTGAAGAGAGAACAATTTGCAGATTTAATCAAATGTAATTTGTACCTATGTAAATCAAGAACTGAACAGATAACTAGATAATGTAACCTTGATAACCTTGATGACACGAGTAAAGGTTATTTCAGTTAGAGTATATATTGAGCCGCTGTTGAAAGCTCTGCTAAATACTTTTTTTTGCAAAATCAAAACACCATGACTGCTCGTTCAAATGGAAATTATATAGAAATATAGATGAATGGATGGGAGATATAGAATTATAGCATTATGGCATCATATTCGTGGCTTATCGTTTCAGTTGAGAGCTGATCGTGAGCCAAGGAGCACCGAGTACCGAGCACAGCCACAGCAGCTCTCCAAATGTACGTTCGGAATTGCCTTGTGGTGTGGTGTCTGTCCCTGGTGTCTGTGGTGCTGTTGGTGGCATCTGCCGAGATCAAACCAGACCACATCCGAGTGGAGAGCCTGCTGGAGCACTGCCACGTCGTAGCTGAGCAGACCCGCTGCAGCGGCTTCAATTTCGAAAGCGAGGGCGAGAGAGCCTCCTTTGACCTTCAAACGGAGGTGAGGATCACCCCAGATGGCAGCACCTACGAGGTGGTGGCCGATGCTAAACCCTCGGGAGCACTGATCTTCGAGAACTGCACTTTTCTGCACTTTCCTGCCATGCTATTGTACATTCTGGAGGTCACCGAGTTGGACATGCGATCGTGCGGCATCCGGCACATGCGGTGGGACAGCTTTGCCGTCGGTGCCGAAAAACTTGCAATTGTCCTCCTGGCAGACAACCTGCTGGAAGAACTCCAGGATAAGAACTTCATTGGAGCGGGCAATTTGCAATTCCTGTTTCTCAATCGGAATAAGATCCGGAACCTGGAAACGGACACTTTTGATGGCCTGCAGAGACTCCAGTATTTGGATATCAGCGAAAACCAACTGGAAGAGCTTCCCCCAAGGATATTTGACGACCTGGAGAGCCTCCAAACAGTGGTTCTCGCCCACAATTTGCTGACGACCATCGCAGGGGATTTGTTTGCCTACAATCCCCATCTGCATAGCGTTTCCTTGCACACAAATCGTCTGGAGGATCTGGAGGAGCACGCCTTCCGTGTGGGAAAGCAGCACCGCCTCCACTCCCTCGATCTCTCGCACAATGCACGGCTGACGGTGTTGCTCCTCAACCTAAACGCCAGCCGCCTAATGGTGCGCAACTGCTCGCTGGACCGCGTCAATCTCTACGGATCGGTGACAGAGGTCGACCTCAGCGATAACCAGGTGCAGGAGCTATACTTCCCCGCCTCGGAGACCCTCGAGTATCTCGTGCTGCGCAACAATTCGCTCATCCAGATGGCCTCTCTGACGCGTGTTCCGCGCCTGCGGCACTTGGATGTAGCAGATAATCCAGAGCTGGCCCCCTTGCCCGAGGGCTGGCAGACGCCCGAGCTGGAGCATCTTGACTTGAGGAGCACGGGACAACAGGAACTGCCACTGGAGGCACTGCAGGGGATGCCACAGCTCCGAAGGCTGGATATTTCAGGGAATAATCTCACGGATATCGATCCCACCACATTCCCACTGCTCTCCAAACTGACGAACCTTTATTTACATGCCAATAACTGGAACTGCTTCAACCTGCGAACCATCATGGATATGCTCATCCGCCCCAATGGCATCACCTACACGGTGGACACTGTGGACCCTGATTTCCCTGGGGAGTACATCCATGGAATCGCCTGCATGTATCGCCAGCCAGAGAGGGAGCCTCTGGGAGGTTCTACCGAAATAGATTCGGGATTCTCCGCCAGTGTGGAGTCCACGCAACTGATCAACGAAGAACTCTCAGAGGTTGAAAAACTCCGAAAGGAACTTAAGTCTGTGGTGCAGCATTTTGAGGTGAAATTCGATATAATTATGAACGCATTGGAACAGCTGAACGAGCGCATGTCCTCCATTGAGAAGCTAAATCACACTATCTGGAATCAGGTCACACTTTCTGTTTAATTATTGTTCGAGATCTCCAAGCTACATTTTGTATTGTTTGACTAATAAATGTTCTTATCGATTTATTTTGACCTCAATTTCCGATTCGTGGTGTATCTGGATAACAAATGTAGATATAGAGTGTTATCTCTTCTGGCAATGCCCTGTCGTCTGACCTTCGCTCTAGCAACACCCTGCAAAAATTGCAATTCGCTTGTAAACTGTTTTGTTATGTTTTGTAGAATACGTAACAAAATATTTGCTAAAAAATATTAATTTTCAAGCCAAAGCATGTGGAGCCGATGTGAGAACAAAATAATGAAGGAGAGCGGTTCATTCAACTCTTGGGAACAGACCAGAATCAGGAGAGCACGAGAAGAATGTGCTTAAGTAAGAGCCATCAGTGGTTTTTCCTGGAATAAGTCCATAGAACTAATTACTTTGATGGCCCGCTAAACTCCAAGATAAACAAAAACATCAGTATCAGTTTTCAGGCAAGACTTGACGATCGTGTACATGCGATCTATATATACTCGCACTCCCTCTGTACACACCATATGTATGTACATACATACATATACATACAGTAATCGCACCGCGTGGTACAACGGTCTTTATTATTTCAAAAAAATGGGTTCTATACAACATTTTTTGCACTTTGAAGTAATATAAAGTAGGTCTCCTATCTGAGAGAAGTGCCTTACTCTTACAACTTTGACGGCTCTCAATAATTTAGGCAATTTTTCGAAAAATAAGCGAAATTGAACGGAAACAAAAATAGCACCAAAATTTGTATTTTATATAAACTTTTACTTTTCCGAGTAATATATATTACTAATATATTATTAATATATGATGTTTTTAATTGAAATAATAATCGGTAGATTAAGTCGTTTGTAAACAGACAGTTAAAAAATATTAGTTGTTTGGGTCGTCGAAAGCCCTTTAGGGAAGAAAAAAGTCAAAGGATCAAAACTATAACTCCAGAAGAAGAAAGCTATCCTTATGTGAGAAAAATAGTAGGTTCCTCATCTAAAATGATTCGTATTGCTGTAAAACAGATAGCCAACAAGAAACTCGTGAAAAAATTGGCGCAATATCCACATTTCGTTTGAAAATACTGGTTTCTGAGTGCAAGAGGGGTACTTTAAAGCCGGCCACAGAGCTTAAAATGGATCTTAAAAAATGTCCAAAGATAAGCAAAGCTAGATTTAGCTTAAAAGAATGTAAATTAATTTTTGAAGTCTGAGAAAAAAATCCAGTTTAGCAAAGGCATCATGGGGCAAAGTAAATACAAGGTAGAAAAAACACTGGAGTTGTCCCAAATAAATATGGATATAGATCCTTTATTCCGGAGGGAGCCAAATTTTTTTTTTTTTATGCAGAAACTTTAGATCTTATGTAAAACGACTACCAAATGAAAAACACAACCCTTTGACACATATTAATATCTAATAATCATGCTGAGACAAGAATCATGGTATGCGCATGCCTTTCGTATTATGGAGGTGGTTTAGTACCCGTGCTGGAATCGATGATGAATCAACATGGCCCTGTAATTATATAATAAAACAATAATGCTGCCGTTGAGCTGTGTCTTTTCATCAGGGAAATGAGCCAAATCATACCAGATAGAGAGCTCTAAGGGGTTTTAAAACAGTGGCTTTCATGCAATGTTTCCTCTTGCTCAGTGCCTAGATATGAACCATAGGGAAAATCTTTGGGGAACAGTTAAGGAATATGTTTCTAATACGAAATAAAAACAAAATCTTGATATTTAGGGGTCCTGTCAGATTTGTGGAGATAAATCCCCCAGGAAAGGCCAGAAAATAAGGTTACATTTTTTGACAAGACTTTGAGTCTTTTTTTTTTGCTGCCAAAAGCTTTAAAACAAATTATTATTATTTGAATACAATTAAAGTAAACTATAGTAATTAAAAATTGTGAAGTTTTCTTATAAATTTGAAGTTCTTTGAGGTTTTACGAAAGTGGTGCTGTTTTTGTTGCCGCCCAAATACCGGAATAATTCCTTCTCTTTCATAATATTTGAATTAGGCCTAAAAGTTGCTATAATAGTTTTAAAAACCTTAATTAGAACCATTGTTTTAACAAAATATCTCAAAGAAAACAATTATTTTCCTGGTGCTATTTTAAACGCCACAGCTGTAGATAAATTCATACAAATTTGTTTATTCAAAAAGCAGTTTTCTGTTCAACGGTAATTGGCACACAACTCGTGCCGATCGGCACAACTGTAAATGTTAGCATTCGATATTATCATTTTCTCTACTCTATATACCTATTCACATACATGTATGTACATAGTATACATACATTCATACATACATCCGACAGACGTCAAAGGTCGAACAACACTTGCAGCGATTGGCTTTTAAAGTTAATTACCAAAACTGAAATTACCAAAAAGAGATAGTACCTTATTTTTGTAGAGCAAATTTAACCAATTATTCTATTTCCCATACCCTAATATAATGCAATTGCGGGAATTCCCAATAATCTCATCACCTGTTGCTAATTGTTGCTTGTATCTCAGATGAATTGCTTTTTTTCTAGTTTAAAATGTTTACAGTGTAAAAAAAACCGCCATAAATGAATAATAAAGAGTTTGAGAAGATAGTCCCTCCCTTTCGCCTATCAGGAAATTTCCCTCTTAGTCACAGAAGAAAAATGGGGAAAGATTAAGAGGAAACGCGACGCTCGCGGATCATATCAACACAAAAGAAACGTAAAAAGGTATACAAAAATAAATCATACATTTTTTGCCAATTAAACAATCGAATTAATGGAGTGGGTAAGACGGGTAAGTCTACCCTTCAGACTATGAAAGTAACACCAACCTTTTGTTTTGTTAATCAGCAAATGGAAGTAATTTTGATTATCTTGTTGAATGGAAATTTAACACACACTAATGCACTGGCACAATCACCGTTACAGTTACATATGTGAACGGACACTCTTGACTTTTGTAAACAATTTCGCGATTGAGCTAAAAATCATTGTAAATCAAAGAAAACGGACGTTTATTTAAGATTAAAATAAAATTAGTATTATTTTTTCAGTTGGCCGGGGGTTTTTGAACATCTAAACGCTTGGAAGGTGTTGACTTTCGAGATTAGATTAATAACAAGACACACACACGCGCACTCAGCTCTCACTGCTTAAGTAATTATCAGCCATTTTGTTCAACACCAAATAAATCACACACCAGCAGCAACAACATGAGGGCAATAAGGAGAATTCATAGATTTTAATAAAAACAATGAAAGCGGGAAAAACAATTCGGGCGCGCGCTTCCACTCTGGACTCCTCGGAGAAGGACAGAGCGAGAGGGCATGATTTTCCACTGATCGGAGCAGAACTTCGGAGCTGCGCTGCTGCTGCTGCCTACGTCACTGGCACACTGGCACTCTCACAACTAAAATATATTTAAGAAATCTTACAACCAAAAAGCAGCAAAATTCGCAAACAAATAAAAGAAGCAACGGAGGCAAATAAAATTATTTATTTTTCCATGGAAAATTTCCAAGCGCTGCTAAACCTCCTGCGCTGACACTGTCTACTTCCATGTACGCGTGAGTCCGCTGGTGTGCGTAACAGCTGATCGTTGACTATTGATTTTTTATTTAATTTTATGTATGTACACTACAACCGATTTGATGCCTATTGTTGCAACAGGCAGATCAAATAAATGGCAAATACGCACACTTCCAATACCAAGAGATTAAAGGGCAATATTGCATTTCACGAGGGGCGACAACGAGCTGCTGGCCGCTGCTCTTTCTATTCGCGCACAATTAAAAGCTTTGCACGCAGCTTATCACGAAACAATATTTGTCGCTCAAAAAAAAACACATTCCACACATACAAATCAAATATCATCCAAATATCCAGCCAACCAGTGTGACCGCGAAATTATCGATAAGTTATACTGACAGACCCCTGGAAATATACCAAAATATTCCATTGAATCTTTAAAATATACTGTAAATATACCGTAGTCTTGAATCTTATTACTCGAATTTGATTTTCTGTTTAATATTGCTAGCTTGCAAAGACTTTCACCACTGAAAAAATAATTTAATCCGATTGAAAAATCAATTTTGCTTATTATAAATACTAATTTTTATTGGATTGTGTACCTTATGACCTTATATTTTACAAATTTGTATTTTTAATTTTTCATTCAAATCACCCTATCTGGAAGCGAGGGAGAGTTGTGTTCGGTATGTAAGTGTATGTGACATGTAGAGACACATGTATGCTTACTGATATCACTAACCAAATATATACTATTGCGCGCGCTGTTTTTCAAACATTTTCATGATATCAGCACTAACCAAATAGTATACAATTTGGAATTCATCGTAAATCCATTCATTATGTTACCGTTATAAGAGAACTTAACCCACTTAAACCCCCTTTATTTTAACAAAATAATACTGCTTGTAGATCCATCTCTCCTCTAAACTTTCAACTCAAGTGGGGAAAAATTGTTCAAATTTCATAAAATTTGAGTGTGTATTTATGTACCCATTGGTCGATCCAGTGCCATTCGAATCAAGCGTATATTTGATTAAACGCTGTAGCAGTCAGCATTTGTCAAGCAACAAACTGGAACGCGCCAAAGTGGAAACCAATTGAAAGTATAATTCGAAATACTTCGCAACAAAGTTTGAAAGACACATAATATTAAATGCAATTTGTGAACCATAAAGAAGAAGCATTACTTGCTTGGGCACACCTTTCTTTCACACTGCTGAACCTCACTGCCAAATCTCTGCTCAAAACATACAAACATTAAAACTTGATTTTCATCCCAAAGAAAATCAATAAAAATGGCGCATTGCACTGAAGCTATGACGCCAACCCACGAAAACTAAGGGAGTACCAACTCCAGTCTCCATTCACCATTTCCCCCCATACCACCACTAACCTGCTCAATGTCAAAGTCCCACTCGGGAGAGGGCGAGCGTGCCGTTCGGCCACCGGGAGGTCCTGCCTGCGGTTCCTCGGGTATGACAGCAAAGCGCCCACACTGCAGGATGGGCGAAATGGCGCCATAATTAGCTGCAATGGAAGCAAGAAATTAGTACAGAGACAGAGGATTTCGATCCAACACTTACACGTGGGCATCAGACGGAAGCGTCCCAGCGTCGTCTCCGGCGGTCCCTGAGGGGTGGATGAGGTGATGCGGAAGCGTCCTCGGCGGGCGGCGGCCACATCCTCATAGTTTCCGCCCCCTGCCGCTCCTTCTCCAGCACTGCTGTGCATGCTTTATATTATATTTACAAAGTTAATTCAACACCACGCTGCAATATAGCAAATAGAGAGAGAGAGAGAGTGAAAATCAATATAGCGGTCAGCTTTTGCTCAGTGAATCGCATCTTTCACGGACTCATTGCACGCAACGGTTTCTTTCACCCCCAACTATGGCTATCCCGCTTGCTCTTGCAGGAGGATATCATAAATTAAAAGCTCACAAAAAAAATGCACTAAAACGACAGGGGACATTTCTCAAAAGTGTGCCATTTAAGTCATTTAACTGCAGAAAGAAAGAGAGAATGCGAGAGCAACCAAAGGAGAAAGAGATGAAAAGAGAGCGGTCAAACCGATGTCTTCCCGCCACGCGACAACGCGTCGTTAGTGTAATGTTTTCGCTTTGTTAATTAAAAATTCTGACGAATTTCGCTAGAAATTTATTAGTTTATTTTGTGGGACATAGAAATGTTGGACATTTCTATACATCAAAGTGAAACAGAACAGCTACATGATGGACATTTATGACGGCTACATGCGGTTACAGGGTGTTTTTTATGGCAATAATTCGAAATTTTCCATGGCGCAATTTCATGAAAGCAGCTACTAAATGCATTTGTACATTTTTATTATTGTATAAACAATTTCTCTGTCAAATTTCCCATTTCACGTCACTGATTTTGCATTTTGCATTTGCCGTCGTTAATTTCTCACCTATTTCTTGGCACTTTCCTAGAATTCTTTCATCTTATTTACGTAAAGAAGTCAATGAATAAACATATTTGTTTGTTTCAACCAATTTACGACTATTTACATACCTAAACAGATTCGTCTCTTTCTCTTTTGCTCCTCAAGTATCTCTGAAGTTTATTTTGTTATAATTTTGAACTTCAATTAATAATTAGTTACTTTTAATTCAGACATTTGCTCAATAATCAATTGCACTTGGCTGGAATAACATTTTGTAAACTTTATTTTCCGATATTTCTATTGACTCTCATGCGGCTGTCGTCTTTCTGCGGCACAGACCGCAAAACGTTTGCATAACACGCACAAGCGAACACGGGGAATAAAATGTACTATACTAATATCACTCCGATACATCATCTATCGTATTATTCAGCTATTGGCATTCTCTTTGGATGTTTCTCCCGGGAACTGTTCGACTTGATGATTTGATTTAGGGCAGAAACAAAACAAAAAATTCAATACAATTCAAATTTAAGAACACAACCCGCGGCAAGCACTTTCCGACCTGACTGGTGGAGCCGTGGAAATAATAAAAACAAAGAGCATGAGATCTGAAACAAAGCAGAGACTTTGACAGAGAGACACACCACACAGCGATAGAGAGCGAGAAAAGGCAGGCGGCTAAGGCTGCGAAATTTAGCGTTTTATTTTATGCAACTGCCAAAAATTAAATTGGCCAACAACAGCGACGACAACAGAGACCGAACGAGTCCGAAACCAAAACCGAAAAAGAAACGCGTTCAAACTGAATGCAGCACCAAAATAAACCAAAAGCAAGAAAGAGCAGGAAACAACAAGTCCAACAACAAGAGTCCAAAATGCATTCACTAATTGGCAAAGAGAGCGCAAGCCACTCAAGGCACACTCAATGGAAGGTGTGGGTGTGGCAGAGAGCAGCCTCTTTTTGACAGCCAAACTTGTTTAGCATCGACAGCACTGCCTTACCTAAATATTCACATACTCATACCTTAAGTGCAACCAAAGAAACAGAGAGAGTGAGATAATGCCAGAGAGAAACTGCAATGCCGCAGCAGAAAAAAACAAATGGTCGCATGTGTAATGAAGAGAGCTTGAGCCAAGAGATAGATAGATAGCAAGATAGAGAGAGAGAAGCAGTATGATTAATTCATAAAAGCAAAGCACAAAGGCAGAGCAGAGAGACGTCGTCTTCCACAGAACGAACCCAGGCATTGCGTATACGCAAAAACAACAGAATGTTCAGCCATCATCAGCTGTTTCCTTTTCAGACCGAAACACGTGAGTGCAAAGAGAGGGGGAGAGGGATGGAAAGAGATAGGACGGAAGAACTGTTCGGCTCGTTGCTATTTGGAGAGAAGAATTTTTCTGCAGATGCCGACACTGCTGATGAGGATGCAAATAAAACGAACATTTAATTTGAAAAGCGTGTGACTCATCCGCTTGTGCGGATTATTAGTGCAGAAGGAAGAAAAAAAACAGGCAGTCGCGTCCAGTGTCCATTACAAGCTCTGATGAAATCTATTCCGGGGGAAACAAATTATATTTTTCACTCAAGGTAGTGCGTGCTCGATTTATATCGATTAATAATCGATTCAGAAAGCGACTTAATGGAAGCTGATTTAAGTAGAAATATGTATATTCTTCTCAAAAATAAGTATTTCATCTTGACATCATTCATTTCACCTATGATTTCACTGAGCGATGAATAGATTTTTCTTTTGACAATTTTCCGACTATTATGTATCTTAGGCAAAAAATTCCATTTAGCATTATTGTCAACAGTTTAGAGGCAAACAATTTTCTCGCTGCGCTTGACGAAGAATCGGTCGCGATTTACGTGTAAGGAAAAGTAGTGCGGAAAATTGTTGCCCACCCACAAAGGAAATGTCTGCTATTCTCGTCGGCTTTTTGTTTTTCTTTTGGGCGCACATCCAAACATGTGACTTGGACCCCCCAAAACACCACCTCACAAAGGCAGTGGATGACATCATTGGCGGCGTGGTGGGGGGGCTGAGTGACGACGACCTGGTCGGGCAGACATTTGGGCCCGAAAAACAAACACACAAACGTGTGATATATGAAAACAAAAAAACAACAAAAAAACAGTTTATAAATAGAGAAAAAGCAGCTTGATTTTCTTTTACTTTTGGCCTTTATTGCTCACATAATTTGATTGTTGCTTTTATATTGGTCGAATGTCAAATCCCTTTATTGGCCTCGTTCTCGGGCGTCAGGTGAGAGCCGTGACGACAAAAACCCGGCGAAAGTTAAAGTGTGGGAAGGCAAAGGAAGGATCCGCAGGTACCACAGTATTTATATGTTTCGATTATCAGTTCTCTTCATATACGTAATGATTTGCAGATGCCAGACTCCAGACATGACATCGAAAGTTGTCTCCCATAGCTGTTTGCGTTTTTCTATCTGTGTATGTGTCTCTCACTCTCTCTTTATGCCGCATTATCAGCGTGAAAACTCATTTCTATAAAGCCCATCAGAACAGACATAAGTATATAGCCCTGCTGTCCGGGTATATTATTTATGCATGTGCTCTTTTGTTTTGTTTGGGATTCATGAGGTTATTGTTGCGATTCTCTACGTACTTGTGCGGGTGATAAGAGCGGTTTTTTCACTATCTGCCGCTGTGGATCCCGCTAGTATAAATCACTTTCCCACCTAAATTTCCGTTTATATGTATTTATGTACATACATTTGTACAAAGAACGTGCAAAATATTATTTGTGTATAATATTCAATCGAGGAAAGGCATTTCGCCGGCTTCTGTTTGGACAGTGTGGAAGACAAAAAAAGAGAAGCGAGAAGTTTATGTCACAAGAATATCAACAACAACCAACCGGCAAAATACTAACGGTACAACCACCCACCATTCCGAGAGAGACCAGCCCGAGAGCGAGAGAGATTGTTCACGTTGGGGGTGGGGTGTATGTACATATGTATGTATTTTGTGCCATATCCTCTCACCCTCGTCTTGACAACATGTGAGACCCAAAATCTAAATTTTGCAATGCCCTGAATCCGGTTTGCTGTGCAGATTACTTGCCATTACCACACATACTTACATATATTTCTATGGCTATAACAATTACTTTGATGGTTTGTGTCGCCCCACTCACTTTCGATTGAATTTAGTTGCTAAAATTAAGTAAAAGTTCAGAGAGACACTTACACACTTACAAACGGACGTCACTAGGGGCACGGTGGTGGCCAATACACATAGGCAAACAGCTGGCAGACCCAACAGAAACAACAATACCAGAATAAGAACAGAACTCACCCAATAGGATAATATTGGGATTTATGTAAATCAGCACGGAATCTGAACTTAAATCCTTTAATACACTGTTAGGTTTTTAGTTTCAGATCATTTAACACGCACAAACGGCATTTTGATTGTTTTCTCTTACGAAACGACCCGACACTTTATTGCAATTTCACGCGATTTCACGCCGTATCCTTTATTCTTTAACGCTGTCAGCACTGCACTTTTCCACTCTCAACGGCGTTCACGTTAGTTTCGCAACATTGATTATGACAAGCATCAGGATCAATTAGTTTAAACATTTCCAAAATAGTCAATAAAACAATAAATTAACGGACTCGAAGTTTCGACAGTGTGACCGCGGACTTATCGATTAATATACCGCATAATCCTCAAAAATATACCAAAATATACCCCACTTTTGGAAATATACTAGCGAATGCAAAACAAAAATGTTGCTCTCTCCGGGCCCAATAATGCTACTTACATTTCATAGTAGCTTTCTGGCCCATACAAAAAAATGTGTCCAGCAACGATAAATGGAATGGATTGCTATTGTTTTAGGTGTCCTAACTAAACCGAGGAACATGATTTAAGAAGTACCGTACTTCTAGGTATATTTGAAAATGAGAAGATATATTTCTGTATATTTTTGTGCGGTATTTTTATTCGCGCCCACCGGTCTTCATGGTTCATGTTCATGACTACATTAATTTATTGTTTGTTCTTTTCTAGTTAATGAGGGTCCAATATTTTAGTAGATTGCAAATCAAGAATTGGACTGTGTTCGCAATAGAGCTGGCTATAAATAAATGTACCCTTTGTACGATTTGCAGTTTCGGGAAGGGTCTAAAGTCAGACGCAGCGATTTGTCTTCTATATACACTAAGCTACATAGTCGCCTAATAAATTCTATGAAATCAGTTTCTTTTTCTCCTCGGAGAGCCTGCCACCATCGCTGGGTGGCTTCTTGGACGACAGCGCTGCTGCCGGCGACTGCTTCTTCCCATACAGCATATCCACGAATAGAGCCGCAAAAACCAGGACGGCGCCCAGCCACTGGCGGGCAATCAGAATGTTGCCGAAGAGCAGCACGGAGCACAGGACGGTGAAGAATTTGCGAGTCGTGGTGACCACGGAGCAGGCCAAGGGACCGAAATTGGCCACCGTCAGGAAGATGAAGAACTGGCCCAGGGCCCCGCACAGCGAAAGCAGCGAAAGGTGGGTCCAGACCTCGGGATGACGCAGAGCAAAGTGCAGAGACTCCTTGACCTCACCTAGAGAACAGTGATTTCTCAAATCGCTATTTTGGGCAGCTTTTGGAGACGCTCACCTGTCAGAAGCATTGCGAAACCGAGCATCAGGGTGCTCCAGAAGTTCATGGACATCATCATCTGCTGGCCAGAGGGCGAGCTGGCCGCTCGAATGCGCTCCTGCACGGCGCCCGTCAGTCCATCCATGGACAAGCTGAGGAAGAGCAGAACCTCGCCGAGTATGGTTGTCTCAGCGGGCAAATTGGCGACCTTTCCCTCTTTGTACATGAACAGAATTACTCCCAGTACGATGGTCAGCACGCAGGCGTAGCGCGTCCAGCTGTACGATTTGCGCCCGATGAGCACTCCCAGAATCATGACAGGTATCGGCTTGGCCGACTTGCCAACGACAGCCGTGGGATAGGGCACCCAGCGCATTGCCATTGTGGTAGAGACCATGGCCAGCAGATAGGTGAGCGAGCAAGCCGCATATGAGCCGGTGTGGGTGGTGTCCTCTTTTTGCGGCTTCACCGCTAGCAGCACTGCAAAAAGTTGGTCAGAAGGCATGGCCTAGAGCACAAACAGAACTCACCTTTGGCAAAAATATAATTGCAAACGCACTGCACCCAGACCAGGGCCAGGGCAAAGGTGAACTGTTCGCCCACAGATCCATCTGTCTGCACTTGTTCGCCGTATCGCCCCCTCGTCAATTTTTCCTGCACAATTCCATATAAAAAGTAGCAGACAAAGATGCCCAAGGCGTAGATCAGGAAACGGCTGCGCTCGGGTACGTTCATTGCGGCAGCAGTATAATTTTGAAGTTGAATCCTTAAATGATTGTTTATCTCTGTGATGACCTGGCCTGCACAGTTGGCATTATTGTTCAGGAGCGGCTGGGATACGTGATTTTTTTGTTGATTGCGATTCTCATACGTGGTAAACATTCACACGACCCTCAAAAATATACCGAAATATACATTTTCAGTTTGGCATTATTGATCAAGAACTGAGCGGCACGACCATCAAAAATATACCGAAATATACCTTGACATTTTCAAAATATTACGCGCATTTACAACGCATTGTTTAATACTGGTGAGGCGCGTATTCGTTTTTGCCGCGGAAAGAAAAAATGAACTTATTTCGCGAAATCGCGATAGAGGGAATAGCACAAAATTCTAGGAGAGACAGAACCTCGCGGGAAAGGGTACCCACCGGCAGAGTCAAACTCTGGTTTAGAGCAGCTAAACAGCTGGAGCAACTGGCCAAGGAAATCAAGTTCCTGTGTTGTAGTGAAACCGTTCTTTCAGTTACAGTTCCAGACGCTGGAAACTTGTCACGGGCTAAGGTCAAGGCTAGGTATCCGACACTCTTTGGTAGATCGTCACCCATCCTTGGGGACCCAGGGGAGTTGCCCCGACCCACTTGGCAGAATGGCACCCTCTCCGAACTCCAGAACAACAACACAGAGGCAGCTAGGGAAATTCAATCGGTTGCTTCGTTCGCCGAGGTGACCAAAGCCAAAAGAGTGGCAACCCGCAATTTGGAGTGGGCTAAGGCAGCTGCCAACATGGCAGAATGGAACGCGATCAACGCAGATAGCCCTCAATTGAGTGAGAAGTTTGTGAGAACATCGTCCGTGGTTTCATCTATGGTCCAGGAAAAGCTTAACGCACTGGGAGAGATGCTTACCCCGTTTCTAGTGGAACCAGGCAATATGTCAAAGGGGGAATGGGTGCAGAAGTTTTTCCAACAGATCTGGGAGTATGTTAACAGCTCCAAGGCTGAACTCGACCATTTGTAAATTGTCCAGGGGATGGAAGTGGGATATTAAAAACAACAAACAATGAAGATTCTTCAACTAAACACTCAAAGTCTGACTTACAACAACAACAAACAGCTCCTCAATATGTTTCTAATGAACATCGAAAAAGACATTGCAATCCTCTCGGAGATTTGGGATTATAACTTAATCGGCAAGCCCAGAGAGGACGGCTACGGCGGAGTAGGAATCTATATTAGTAGGAAAATTAGATTTAGCATTCTGGAAATAGACAGTGATCTAGAGATCTTAGGTATTAAGACCTTGAACCTCAAAAACAACCTCAACATTCCTAGCGCATACGCTGTGCCTTCAATGACACTTTCCCAATTCTAATCAGGTATTAAAAAGGTGTTCGAGCTTGCGGAGTATCTAGACTACCCTTCAGTCGAGGGAGGAGATTTCAACGCAAAGTCTTCCATCTGGGGAAACTCCTTCAGTGACCGCATGGGCCGCAGCATCGAGAATGCTACCCGTGAGGCGGGTTTTATCTGTTTTAACGACGGCTCTCCTAATTTATCCAGGAACCCCTCCCAGTTCTCAGTTCGCGACTCAGTTCTTGACCTCCCTTTTTCCAATCCAATCCAGCAACCTCTTCCCAATTGTCATTACAGTCGAAGGTTAAGATGCCTCTATTCAAGAAAAGAAAGTGCTGCACAATAGAATAAATCGTATTCTAGGAGCAAGCAGCTTTACTAATCTGCAAGAGCTCAACGATAAGCTCAAATCCCTGACCAGTAAGAACACAGTTACAATTCCCAGTAACAACAAGTATATTGCCAAAAAATGGTGGAACGAGGGTCAAAGTTCATAGAAGAGGTTTCCTCTTCGCCCTCCTTGTGGAGCAGAGTAAAGAACCTAAAGAAATACGGACAGGTCAAACACGTAGGAAACACATGGACAGACAAAACCGACAAGGGCTTTCTAAGAATGGTCAAAGACCTCTGATTGGACCAGGTGACCCACCCAGAACGTTTGGACATGGGTGAATTTCTGTCCTTCCTCAAATCCAGGAACCCAAATTCGGCGAGAGGTCCAGATGGCATCTCGTTCAGGATGCTGCAGCAACTTCCTGTGGAGAAAAAACAGCATTTTTATACCCGGTACTCGAAGAGTAATTAGGGTATATTTTATTTTTGTGAATAACGGTTGTTTGTAACGCACAGAAGGAAACGTTTCCGACCAGATAAAGACTATCTATTCTTGATCAGCATCAATAGCCGAGTCTATAGGGACATTTCTGTCTGTCCGTGTACCGGGTATAAATGTTGTGACGCGTAAGAAGCGTCTCACACGTCCCTTCTCTGTGAACACACAATATTTTAAATTCAACAAAATATTTTCTGTTTGAATTTTTCATTAAAAAGCGTAACTTTAGTTTTTAGGTTAAAGTTCATAGTAGATTTTGTAAAAACAAAAAGAAAAAAACAAAACAAATAAAAATTAAAAAACACTACACACCATCCCATACATATGTAACATGTGTGGTGTACAAATAGCAGTAAATTGCAGGAGCGAAGTATACAGCATATACCAACACTGTTAACACTGGTGAGTGTTTCGCAAGCGCTATTAATAAATATTTTAATGTAATTTTGTTCAATTTCTATTTTAGGATAGAACAGCTTTGTTGATTGTTATGTGCAGTTACTCTTCAGGCTATACATGGGCATTTTGAATATAAAGATGATTATAATCAGCACGATTATCAGCACGACAATGGTAACAGCGTTGTCGTAGAGGAATTGGTAGCCAACTGCAAATTTTGATCGTTGATTGTTTGAGTTGCTCATAAGGTTGCTCATAAGGTCTGCCTTGGTGGCCGACATTGCCATTGCCTCTTATGTTTCAGTCAAGGGCTTGTCTAATTGATCAAAATGATGACGTTTGGTGACGTCCATTAAGACATTTTTGGCGCTGGCTATCACCTGGAAGGCATCAGTGGCACCGGGGTGTTTGTTTTTGTCGGGATGCACCACCCGGGACAATTGTCTGTAGGCCGAACTTATCTGATCGTTCGTGGCTGTTTGTGGCACATTCAAAACGGCATAGTAATTGTTGCGGACCGCATTGACACGACGCATAGCTTCCACCTGCTCGTCCATTTTGCTTTAGTTCAATGAATAAATCAATTTTTTGAGTAAGTTGATTTATTTTACAAGGGCTAACGCGAATGACTGCCTCGAATACTGGTTAAATAAACTGTAAAAAGGATACGATTGAAATTTGATTGAAGCTAAAGTCAACGCAAAGTGATTGAGAATTTCATGGAAGAAAGTTGTGTGCCACACATCCTTACGGTGAGAAGTACTGGCAATGCTCTCTGCTATACATAATTCAGGTATAACCCATCGATATATATACATATATCAGGGAGTATTACCCTTCAAAATATCAGTCACGTGTAGCAAGAAATCAGCGCTGATGGTGCGATGCCGTTGAAAGCTCTCAGGTGGGGTAGGGTCGTGGTAGGTCCCGCTAGTCTCGCTGGTACTGTATGGAGAATCTAGTATCCTGTATGGTTAGTACCAGGGGTTAACGGGTTTCATTTTTTAAACAAACACAAAACAGCGTACCCAGAATGCACTTTCTCCACTTTGGTCACACTGGGAACAGAGCGAAATACATATGTGGCACATTCTGTCGCAAGACAATTTTTGACATCTGCGACCAGTATTGCCCAAATTGAAAATGAACTAACATTTGAACATTTTAAGGTAACATAATCTTATTTTGAAAATAACTTCAGAAATAATTTAACCCCACAAAGCCAGCACAATTGTTTCTGAAAATGAATATGAATATGTACATACATACATAGTAAGATAGTTTTGTTAATGGGAACTATTAGGAGCAGCCCGGCGAATCAATTTCATTTAATATATGTACAGATAATATATGTATATATAATATATATATATAAAATATAATATTCAATATGTAGATTTCTTATATTCATTTGGCCGCTTCCAAAAAACCGCCAAAAGTGTCAGCACTGTCAGCTGAAGCTGATCAGCTGTGGGTCGCCGCTATGGGTCACACTGTCAAATTCCAAACAACACAACAACTCAAAAACCGACACATCACACATCATACGTTTTGTTTGTGCCACACACGCCAAAAACGCCAACTCCGAATCGAGTCGCGTCGAGCTCCACATAAATGCAACAAAGCCCAGCCTTCGCGTATAGGGAGCTGGAGACCTCGCCGCGCGCCATGTACATGCGCGACTGGCGCTCTGCTCTGCGAACACCCACGTATCGTATCGGAAATCGAACAGTCCGATTCAATTATCACTTTGCCCTGCTGGTAGTCTGCGTTGTGGCTCTGGTGCTTCTCTTCTACTTCGCCCGCCAGGGCTCCCGCTCCTCCTCCGATGGCTACTGGCTCCGCAAGAGCATCGTCGAGGCCAAGAGCCTGGATGGCAGAGCCGTCATGGAGGCGTACAACTTCACCTACCCACTGACGCCCCCCTTGGGGTTGCGTGGCGGAGTCATCAACTACCGGATCGCCATGATAGCAGATCTAGATAAGAGCTCGAAGATAGCTAAGGCCGACGGCAGCAGTACGTGGCGGAGCTACCTCAAGAAGGGCTACCTCACGTTCACCGTGTCGAAGCCGGAGATCCAAATAAGCTGGGACGACGAGGCTCCCACGGCGCTGGAGTCGGCCTTTTCGCTGAAGGGACGTGGCATGGAGTTGTCGGAGCTGGTGACCTTCAACGGGCGCCTGCTCAGCTTCGACGATCGCACGGGGCTCGTCTACGAGATAGTCGGCGATAAGCCCATTCCCTGGGTGATACTGCTCGACGGGGATGGACACAGCGCCAAGGGATTCAAGTCGGAGTGGGCGACGGTCAAGCAGCAGACGTTGTACGTCGGCTCCATGGGCAAGGAGTGGACCACGGGCATGGGCGACTTCGAGAACAACAATCCCATGTATGTGAAAGCCATATCGGCCAGTGGGGCAGTGCGCTCCCTCAATTGGGTGGACAACTACAAGCAGCTGCGTCAGCAGTCGCTGCAAATCTCCTGGCCCGGCTACATGATACACGAGAGTGGCGCGTGGTCGGACCAAAAGCAGCGTTGGTTCTTCCTGCCGCGTCGCTGCTCCAAGGAGAAGTAAGCAAATCCATGAAGAATCCATAGAGATCCATAATCGGATCGTTTCCCTCCCCCTTTGCAGATACAACGAAACGAAGGACGAGCACATGGGCTGCAATGTCCTGGTGTCGGCCGATGAAAACTTCAACAGCATTCAGACGATTCGGCTCGATCCAGAGAACACCGCGCCCACGCACGGCTTCTCCAGCTTCAAGTTCCTGCCGGGCACCGACGACAGCATCATCATCGCCATCAAGTCCGAGGAGCTCAATGGCAAGACCTCAACCTTCATCACGGCGTTTGACGTGGCGTCGGGCAAGACCCTCTTGCCGGAGGCGCGCATCGAAACAGACTATAAGTACGAGGGATTCGAGTTCATTTAGCTTCTGCTGCCAGCTGCCATCTCCCAGTCTAAGAAGGTGCTCCAGTTGTAATTGTATATATTGTGTTCCACGTATTAGTTTCTCGTCTCATACCATAAGCTTTATATTTATAGTCCAAGATTTAGGTTAATCCAGAGATGCTCATCTTTCGCCTCTTGTACCATAGCGCAAATCAAATTGTGGTTTATTTTTAACCAAAAAAAAAAACAACGTACAAAGCCCGCGGCAGGCAAACCAAAACGAAATCTATTGTGCGTTCCTGGGCATCGTCTTCAGTCCCGCCACGAGCAAGTCTGCATTGTCCACGCGTCCCTCGCTGGCTCTCACCTCCAGGCGATCGGCATTGTGATTGACGTTCCACAGGTCGGGAAGAAACTGCGGCTTCATGGTGTGCAGGAAATGCTCTCGCCACATCCGCTCCAACTCGATGAGGCCCCCAAATTCATGGCGATACATCTGCACCACCTTCTCACCATGCTGGCAGTAGTCTTCGTTCTCCATGCGATATTCCACCTCCGCCGCCTCCCTCAGCAACTGTTCCGTGACCTCGGTGTGATCCTTGTAAAAGTCCAGCAGGGTACGCCGCATCTCCTCCAACTTCTGCGCGGGTATGCGGTGGCCATTGAAGAGCAAAGCCTTGGCAGCGGACTTGACTCGCCTTCAAGTCAGAGGAGAACAAAGATAGATTACTAGAGGATTGGCAAGGGGCAAGGAACTCACTTTAGCTCTGGATCAATGTGATATTTGACGTTGCCTTCGCTGTGCTTGAACGGGGCATCGCACTTGGCGGCCAGCTTGCAGTGGACGCGCAGATCCGAAATGTTGCTCAGTTGGTGGCAGGGCGGGCATAGCAGCAACACATCGTGGGAGGTGTGCGTCTTCATGCATATCGGGAAGTGCTTGCGGTACTGATGCGGCACCACATTCTTGCGGATGAACGCCTCACGATTGCCGCACACCACGCACTGGTTCTCCTTGGGCGTCTGGTAGTAGCGTCCCACTTCCCCCACGGCCCGTCCCGCGGGCTCAAAGTTCAGCCGAACTGTAAACGGATCCTCGCTGACTTTGGTGCCCAGATTCTGAGCCAGGTACCAGGAGGCTTTGCGGCGATCCATGGTGCAGAGAAGCTCCCCGTCGGGGGCCTGGAGCAGGCAGTTGTCATAAAAGACTCTCGACTGGGTGCCCAGATGGCGACATTGCGGACTTTTTGGCGTCAATTTTGTCTGCTTCTGGGAACCAGAACTGGGCGCATGCCTCCCATCCTTAGACAGATTGATGTTGAAGCCCCTGGCAAAGTCCACGTCCAGGAAGGGCTCGATTTTGGGTCGAAGGGTGTGCTCGTTCAATGGGCGCCAGTCCCAGAAGTTCCGTGGCTCCAGGTCCCTGGAGAGCTTCTGGAAAATGGCCACGGCAGCCAGGGCATCGTTGGCCGCGTACTTGATTTGGGTGGGCTCCAGCTGCTTGGCCTCCCAGTTGGAGCATGCCAGCCGCCAGTTCTTGTCCAGCACGAAGTCTGCGTGTGTCTTGGCCAGTTTCCCCAGGCCCTCGGGCTTGTGACCGGCCATCACGGCCAGAAATCGCAGATCCAACGTGCTCGCCACTCCCACTCCGTAGTCGTGGGCCAGCTTCTTGGCATCATCCTGCGGAGCTACTCCCACTTTGATGATGGCCTCGTCCTCGAGCAGTTCGCGCAGGTCCTTGGGTATCTGCTTCATGTGGCACAGTCGGAAGAGAGCACAAAGCCCTTTGTGAGAGCTCAACTGGAGAAGGGCGACAGGTCGCCTGCTGCCACCCACCGTGATCCACTCGCAATCGAAGCCGACCACCTTGAAGCTCTGACAATGACTGCGGGGACGGACAGGTACAGATTAGCTTAGATTCCGTGTGGAATTTCGCAGGATATGTATCTCACGTTCGTAGCTCGTTAAGGACGACTTGCGTGGCTGGGTCCGAGTTGGAATTGATGACTTCGACGCAACTATTGCGCAGCGGACTTGATCGGCTGTGCCGCCGCAGCCTGGACAGCAGCGAGTGCCTGTGACGCACCAGGACGTAGACCAAACCTACTCCTGCAGCAAAAATGGCCAATTTTTTTGTTTTTTCTACGCTCATATTTTTTGTTTTTTTTTTTGTTTTAATGCAACTTGTTACAGTTTTACTCAAATTTTGTGGATGAACTCGATTAATTTTTGGTACGAGCTAATTTGTTCTTTTGATAATTGATAGTGTTTATTATTGATAAATGGGTAGTTTAGTCTTGTTGTGTTGTTATGTTAAATGTTATATGCGATGCGTTATCGATGGTATCGCAAGTATCACAAATGTTACTTGCAAGTGTGTGCCTATCAAAGCAGTCTGCTGCCACTCCATGTGGCGAAGATGGGTGACAATCGACCATACCACACGATAGTTACGAAATATCGATAGCAGGCTGACAATATTAGGGGTAGGAGCGTGGTGACGGTTAAAAATTTAAAATTTTGATTTCGAATCATTAATGAACCAGCAACTCGGTCTATTGATCCTTTTAGCGTCAATAGCTTATTTCTATTTACGAACCATGGTTTTGTTGAGGTGGGGGGAACAAGTTAGCAGTATCCTCTGCGTTTAACACTGGCAAATTAGGCATAATCTCTCTCCCGCTCTTCCTTTAGTATTCGGTGTATCTCACATAAGGCATCTTTAAGAGTCCATTTAACGACTGTATATTTTCCCAGAGTGTGTGCTTCTTTGGCTGCTGAGTCTACTGCCGTGTTCCGAGGCATGTTGGCATGGCCGGGTGTGAAATGGATTTCTACCTTCTTTAGGTATTGGGCTTGACGGATCTTCTCCCTGATTTTACATAAACGATACAATTATCTTGAATGCTCCTTGCCAGTATTAGAGCCCCGTTTCTGCTGTCCATTAGGATGGCGATACGAGAAAAACGGCGCGAGTTAGCATGGTCCAAGGCCTTCTCAATTGCAAGCAACTCGGCGGACAGAGATGACAGCCGTCGTGTGGTCGGTCTCGAAGCCTCCCCTTGGCAGGAGTGCACTGCCGGTCTAAGCTGTGCTTGTTAGCAGCAGCCCCCCTAAAACAGTCTAAGTCTGACCTAATTTTGGTACTGTCAAAGACCTCGAATCCCTCCAGAATATCATCGAACTCTCGAAATGCCTTGGCGTAGCCCGTGTTTAAGTTCTCCTGCCATGTATTCGTAGCGTATTCTAGACTACTTCTGACATAGGCCTTGCAAACTATGAGACCTCTCTTTTTGGGCTGATACCGTAATGGCACCCACTGAATAGTCTTAGTTTCTTAGTTTCGCACAGTTTCTGTTTGACTCCGAAATGGCCTGCTCGATGTGCACTGAGGCTGAGTTGTTCTGCCTAGATATTTGATCTGATCTACTTGCCTAATCTCGACTGCTTGGTGCTAAATTCGGTTCTCGGTTCTTCGGATGCTGAAGTGAATCACTTTTGATTTGGCGTTTTTCGTTTATCTCGTGCAGTTCTGAGGTGTACTAGATGAACAGAGTTTGACTGACCTCACTCTTGCCCTTGATGAGTAGACGCCTGTTTGGGAACCTGGCAATCCAGGCAGTGTGGTTCGGGTCGAACTTCATGACATTCATCTTCTGCTCTAGCGCGTCCACTCTTACGCAGTCAAAGGATGCCAGGCTGCCAGGCTGCCAGGCTTCCAGGCTGCCAGGCCGCCACGACCTGATTCCCTCTCGGCTTCAGAGACAGGACCCCTCGTTGATCAGGTCGTTGATGCAGAGCGCCGTGGACCTGTTCCTCCTAAAGGCGTAGGATCTGACCTGCAAAAGCTCATGCATTGAAATGTGTTCGTCCAGCTTTAACTTTGTCAACCCCTCTATAGACTTAAACAAGATGTTTATTAGGCAAAAAGGTCTGTAGTTTAGGAAGGAAGCGGGGTCCGCATTCTTCTTGGGTACCAAGGTACCACCTTGATTCTACGCCAGTATAATTTCAAAAATACTGTGCTTTTTCCCCACAAGAAGTTGAGCATCCTGAACGAGCTGCCATCTGGGCCTCTCGCCGAATTTGGGTTCCTGGATTTCAGGAAAGACAGAAATTCCCCCATGTCCAAAGGTTCAGTGTGGGTCACCCGGTCCAATCAGAGGTGGAGTGTTCTCTGGGGTCTACTGTCTACTGCTTTCAGTGGAGGGGATGTCTTTGACCATTTTTGGAAAGCCCTTGTCGGTTTCGTGTGTCATGTGTTCCCCACGTTTTAGACTTTACTCTGCTCCAGCGAAGAGGAAAGGCGAAGAGGAAACCTCTTCTATGAACTTTGAGAAATTTGATCTTCTGCAATTTTTTATACGCGCTTTGTTCAATTTTGGACTGATACAACAAAAGCAAACTCAAATGAAGCAGATGTCAGATGAACTTCAAATTTATAGTTTCGAGTCAGCCGGACTCTTAAGTTCATGGAAAAGAGATCCCACTTTCCATATAATACAATTTATGAATTTATGAAAATGGAGCTGATTACTTGCTGTTAATCGATGGAATAATGCGAAATGAACAAAATCTAAGCATTCTGAATCAGGATCTCCCAGGAGTCATCGGAAATGTTGGTCTAGCTGCTAAAAAAAATATGAGAAAATGGTCCAAAATTGGATTTCAAAACAAATATTCCAGTCAAGGGGTGTTCATTACAGTCTTCCGATGTGAATACTACTGTACATTTATAGTTCGATGTGTAATCTTAGCTTGAAAGATATTCAGACCCTGCAAATATAATTATTTAGTTGTGGGAGAGGCCAAAGGACGAATGGTTAGAAATTCACCCCTGCATCGGTGCAACGCTGCTCCCTCAATATTCCAAATGGGAACTAAAAAAAGAATAAAGCCCAGTGAAAACATTATGCGAAAAATAAATAATTATAATTAATTAATTATAAAAAATAAAAACATTAAATTATTTGTTTAAAACACAACCGTGGGCCAATACTGTAACACTTGGCTTCTTTCACATTTTATATTACCATATTTCTTAAAATTAAAACTTTTAAAACACATATAAACACACAAATAAGTCACCAACAAAACAAGACCAAGATCTTGAGGCTGTGGCAAATAGAAGAGAGATACTAGTGAGAATATTGAACTATTCATCCATATTCCATAATTAGCAGTTCATTCTTAATTTACCATATATTGCTATAGTCAAATATTAATATATCTTATTTTATCATTATCATTGTTCTCATTAGCTGTTCAAACTCCCTTCGCAAAGGAAAAGAGCTTTCAAATTCCCTTAACAAAGCAAGGGAGCTTTCATGGTGTGAAATTTGTACCAAAAACTAAGGTGTCGAAAACAGGTAAATACGTCACAAAAATTCCAGTGGTGCCAGGGAAATTACACGGCGATTTTCATCCCCCGTGATGGAAATTCTCCTAGGAAATCCTCTCCTGTGTCTAAACGGTCAGGGAAGAGGGCAAGATATTCTCTCCTCTCTCTCCTCATTTTTGCGTCTCAATTTGAGCACAGAAATCCCACAGAAATATACCAAAAATATTATACGTTCACACTTCCATATACCGCAAAGATTCTATATATCGATATATATTCAAATTGATATTTTCGATATTCTGTGAATACTTTGAAATGATTAATTAAATCATTTAAATAAGGAATATAACCAAGTGAGACGTGACTGGAGAAGCCATGTGGAAGTGAAGTGCCCGAGCAGAGGCCACCCAGCAGACGGAAGAGCGGCGCGGCGCGCCGGAAGAAATTCTCTGCCGCCCCAGACCCCCCTGTAATAAAAATCGATTTTTCACTGCCTGCTAGGGTGGTTGGGGGAAACCACAGGATTGCTGGACTGCCGGTCCTCATAACTGAATATTTCAAACGATTGCAGGAAAAAGCCGAGAAATGACGGAAAATCTGGAGCTGCACCAGTTCCAGGAGGGCACCCACACGTTGGAAGTGTCGAATCGCTGGCTGGAGCGTCTGAAGACGCGCGTCAACTGTCCATATTTGGGAATCATCCTGGCCACGCTGTCCTCCCTGTTCTTTTCGCTGTGCTCGGTGATCGTCAAGGGACTGGTGGACGTCAATCCCATGGAGTTGGCAGCATTCCGCTTCGTGGGAGTTTTGCTGCCGACCATTCCCATTCTGATATACACCCGCCAGCCAGTGTTTCCGGAGGGGACACGTGTCATCCTGCTGATGCGCTGCTTCATGGGCACCACCGGCTTGATGCTCAGCTTCTACGCCTTCCGTCACATGCCGCTGGCCGATGCCAGCGTCATCATCTTCTCCACGCCCGTCTTCGTGGCCATCTTCGCACGCGCCTTCCTCAAGGAGCCTTGCACCATGTTCAATGTGATCACCATCAACATAACGCTGGTCGGCGTCGTCCTCATCACACGGCCGCCCTTTGTGTTTGGCGACACGTCACCTCCGCTGGATGGGACGCAGCTAACTGGCAGGCCATACGACATCTGGGGCCCAGTGGCAGCCTTCTCGTCCACGCTCTTTGGGGCCAATGTCTACATCCTGCTGCGGGCCCTCAAGAACCTGCACTTCTCCGTGATCATGACCAACTTCGGAGCCACTGCCCTCGTGTACACCCTGATAGTGTCCGCCTCCATCGGTGCCGTGTGCTGGCCCAGCTGCGGCCGAGACCGCTGGCTGGTCGTCGTTCTCGGCGTCTTCAGCTTCCTCGGCCAAATATTGCTCACTCTCTCGCTGCAGATCGAGCAGGCAGGACCAGTGGCAATCGCCCGATGTGTCGACATCGTGTTCGCCTTCATCTGGCAGATGATCTTCTTTGGCGAGACGCCCAATGGATACTCGATGTTCGGAGCCCTCATGGTGATCAGCTCCGTCATTCTCACGGCGCTCAAGAAGTGGGCCATGACCCTGCCGCGGGAGTCATCACTCCGCAAGCGGCTGCGTCTCATCCTAATGGAATAGACAGAGGCAGGACACGCCCCCTGGTTTCTCCCGATCTGTAATCTGTAGTCACATCGTTCACTTGTGCATCGCGTCGTAGTAATAATTAATCAAATAAGAGGGAGCGTGCGGAAAGGAGCGGACTGGAATGCTCCCTCCCACCCGTATAGCATATCCAACAATCTCCCAGGCTCAGAACAGTTTACAGTTTATTCGAATAGCAGTATCGTATCCGCAGGCAGTCAGTTGTCTGAGTTGTGAGGAGGTGCGTTGCTCGTGATACCCATTTGTTTCCACATTGAAATACTCGATAGTGTGTGTGTTTTAGTTTAGCCAATTCGCCGATTTGTTGTTTTGTACATTGTTATACATGCTTTAAATACAATAATAAATACAACTTATGAATTAATCGCAACTGTTTAAACATTCTCCCTACCACTGTCCACTTTCAAACAACTCAAATTGCGATTTTGAATTTTGAATTTCCGATTTTTCACGAGCGCGCACAACAGCTCGTAACGTGCTGTTAGTTAACGTAAACAGTGCCGGGGTGCTGTTAACAAGCCGGTTCTTTCGCTGCCCAACACTAGCGTGCACCTTCTGCAAAATCTACGATTATTTTCGAAAAAAACATAAACAAAAAAGGGAAAACAGTCGCAAACAGAAATAAAAAACAGACACACACAAATTGTACATTGTACATTGTACATTCGCCGTGGTTCGTGTGGACCGGAGCGCCCTAGAAGCCTAGATCCGCAATCACCGCATCCAGCTCGTCCTGCAGATTGGTAGCCCGGTGGCGCACCTGAACAATTTGGTCCTGCAAATTGTCGACGTTTGCCTGCAGAAGCACGTTGCACTTCTTCATCGCCGCAAAGCGACTCTCGTGCTTCTTCACGCGCGGCTCCACGTTCGCCTTCTTCGCGGAGTTAGCCGCGTCCTAGGGGGAATCAAAGAAACGAACGAAAACAAAAAAAAAACTGGTGAGTGCCATAAAAGGATGCAAAGTGTGGGACCCACTTCTGGTTCGGACTCGCTGCCCGTCTCCGCTTCGCTCTCTCCCGATTCAGATTCCTCAGACTCATCGTCGGACTCCTCCTCCTCCTCGCTCTCGTGCTCCTTCTCGGCCTCCTCCTCATCCTCCTTGTCCTCGCCATCGACATCGTCCTCGTCCAGCTTCATCGAGGCGGCCATCTTCTGCACTTCCTTCTCCAGCTTCTTGAACTTCTTGTTCTCCTCCCTGCGGACAAAAGAATTCTCATTACGAGACTGCAGTTGAGGGTGGAATAATTTACTTTAGGATCTCCTGGTTCTTCTTCATGGCCTGCTTGAGCACATCCTTCTCCTTCTTGGCCGCCTCCTCCTTGACCTTTAGCTTCGTAAGCTTGCTGCGCAGCACCTTCAGCTCCTTGCCGACGCGCTTCTCCCTGCGCTCCGTCTTCTTCTCCTCTGGCTCGTCGGGATCGCTTTCGCTCACTTCCAGATCCAGCTCCGGCGAGCTGTCGCGCCCGAAATTGGCATCGCTCGATCGTCTAGAGCCGTCCAGCATTCCCCCGCCCTGCAGGACCGCAACACAATTCACGAAATGTGGAGATTAGTAATCACCTTCGCAACTGGTGCGTGGCTTTACCTGGTGCGGCGCGTGCTTGCCGGAGTAGTAGTGGTCGTAGTAGTCGTCATCGTAGTCGTAGTCGTCGTCGTCGTCGTAAGCAAAGCAATTACTAATGTGCGGTCTGTTAGTGCTTGGTGTCGCACAGCCCTTGCAAGAGAGCGTTCAATGGGTTAATCAGGTTAGTGGTTTGTCTGCAATTTGTTGACAAGGCGAAAGCGTGCGGGGAATTGATTGGCGTGTCTGGACGGGTGTCTGGGATCATCGGCATGTCTCTGTCATGCGGCATTGAAGGATCTCTTACATATGAGGTAAGATTTCTCTGGTGTTTGTGTTTTTTTGTGGGGATTAAGCATTTAGTGAAGTGTTTCAAAGTGCCGCCCCGTTTCGTAAAGTGACCGTTTCCCTTTGCACCCACTGCATTGTGTGTGTTTGTGTGTGTGTTTAAAAGTGTTGTCAGCTGATCTGTTTTGTTTCGTTTCCATGGACACTACTTTTTCGCTACTTTGGACAACTATTTACAAAAACTACTAATCGCAGGGACTACTAATATGGGCTACTAGTTCCGATGGCATTGTTAGCTTTTCTTCTCTCGTCTACTCTCTGCGCCGGAAACGCTGAAAATGTGCGGAGGAGAACCTGTGAGGAAGATGGCGGATGGACGAATGGGTTACGGACCCCGCTCCCCCCTCAACGGACAACTGACAACACTTCGAGCGATCATACCCCGTCATAGCCCATCCCTGAACACTGGAGACTGGAGACTAACCTGCAGAGCCGCTGCTAGCTTCCGTTCGAGGAGCTGGATCTGTCGCCGCTGCTCCTCGATTTCCGTCTTGGCCTCCACTAGCTGCTCGCTGGTGCTCTGATAGTTCTTTTCGACCTCCTTGGACACCTTGCGGGCATCCTCCACCTCACTCTTCAGCGAATTGACGTACGTCTGCTCGGCGGTGGGCGTGGGGTCCATGGTGGCCACAATGACATTTGAGCCGTACTCGAGGTTCTTCTCGCGCGACTTCTCTCGCTCCAGCTCCGTCTCCAGAGTGCGGATCTTGGCCAGCAGCTTTTTGTTCTCGCGCTCCTGGGCCTCCCGATTGCGCAGCTCGAGGGCCAGCATCTGCTTGGTACTCTGCAGGTCGTCGCGGATCTTGTCGATGTCGTCCAGCTCGTCGGGGCTCTCCTCATCGATGGACATGGCCGAGCCGATGCTGGGCCGCGATCTGCCCGCTCCCAGAGCGCTGGCACTGCTTGGACCCAATGCGTGATTGCTAGGCGCCTCACAGAGCATGTTGACCTTTGACTGGGACTTTTGCAGCTGCTCCTCGATGGTCATCTGGCGGCGGAACTTGCGTAGCCCATCCAGCACCGGCTTGCTGCGATCGTTGGTCCGCGTGGGCTTCAGCTTGATGCCGCCTTGGATCTGCTGCAGCAGCTTGTTGTGCGAGTTGTCCTTCTCTGTCTCGTAGATGAATTTTTCATCCACTTTGGTTATCGACTTGCATGTCAGTATGGGCTGAGATCTGTAGGAGAGTAGGATGTTGGGTAGGATTCACTTAGCAGGTAGCAGCCATCTCTCTTTAATCACTTACCTATCGTTGCACGCCACATGGCGCAGCTTCTTGCCGCTCTCCACCTCCTTCATCATCTCGGACCAGTCGGGGCGCCTTCGGGGCCGTGTTCTGTGAGCCGAAAAACAGGAAAATGGGAGAGAAATGAGAAATGGCCATCGTCCTAATCCTCCCCGACTTACCTCAGCTTCTCGAGGTTCTCCTTCTGCGTGCTGGAGAGCACACGCTTCTCGCCGGGGGCCAGTGGCGGGGGCGGTGGTGGCGGAGCCTTCGGGACCAGCGAGGGCAGTGGCGGTGGGGCGGGAACTGCAATAAATAGAAGCGCACAGAGCGTTTAGGAAGTGTTAGCGAATGCAATTGAATGTGCAGGAATATGGGCATGTGGCAGGAGGAATGTGGCATGGAATGGCTGGTTAGGGGGGGGGGGGGGGGGGTGCGTTAAAGCAAACCGCCGCATGGCTCCCGCTGCGTGCACTTTTGCTATTCAATATAATTTTAATTTAATGAGTTTGCAATTTGTTTCAGTTGTTTGCTTTGTCTGTTTGGATCCTATCACCCCCTCCATTCGGGCCCCGTTCCATGTGGATATTTGTTGAAAGTTTCCGGCGCATTGCCGTACATATCAATTGGCGTAGAAGAGTGGCTCTCTCCCACAGACACATGGCATAACTCCCTGTCTATGTCTCTCTCGGAAGTTACAGCAGAGATTGAAAAGTTAGGAAGGACCTCTCTGCCGATGCCGCTGCCGGTGCCTCTGCTTTTGCGTGTGCCTGGCTTTGATGGTGTTTTATTGCCTTAACACCATTCAATTCGTCCGAAAAGGGAGTCAGCAGGAGGGGGCAAAACTTTGATTGCATTTTTTACTTTGTCCGGACTTTTCCTCGGTCGAATCCCTCCTCCTCTTCCCTCCCATCCCGCCTTGCTGCTCTCTTTTGGGGTTTCGTTAGTTTAAAGTCCTACGCCTCTTCGTTTCGTTTACTTCTTCGTGTGCTTCGGAGCCTGGGCCTGGTTCTGGTTCTGGCTTTGGGTCTGGGTCTGCGAGGTATGTTGGAGCCCTGTTAACGAGGCCAATTAGTCTGGACAGCAGCGGGAACAGCGGGAGGCGGCAGGAGGGGGAGCAGTGGGAGTACACCTCTGGCAAGCTGTTTCTAATAAATTTCCGCTTAAATTGTTGGTCTAACAATCTCCCATACTCTCCTCCCTCCCTCTCTGACTGTCTCTCGCACTCTGTGCCTCGATATTCCTTTTACCTCTCCCGCTGGCCTCGTAATTAACAATTGAAAAACTTTTTCCAGTTTCGATTTTTTGCCAGAGCTTGCTCCTGCTCTCTACATAACCTAACTCTGCTCAGGCACTCTCTCTCCCCCCTCTCTCTTCCTCTAACACACTCACAGAAATTGTTGCTGTTGTTGTTGGTTTTTTGTATGTTTTATCGAATACTTTGCATTCTTTATGTTCTGCTGCTGCTGCTGCTGTCTGTTTGTCTTGCTTTACATCCCCACTCATCCCCCTCTGCCTGCTGCTGTTTGTTTTTGTTGTTTTTTTTTGCAAGTTATAAAAAAAAGAAGTGCAAAAGACAAACAACAGAGGGCGCCCTCATGGGAGAGAGCAAAAGAGAAGCCGCCGCGCCGCGACGGCCAAGTGATGAAAAGCTGACAAATCTGTTAATTAGCTTTGTTTGAATGAACCCTACTGATGGGAGCAGCAGGAAGGTCACCACCACCCACTGAGGCAGCCAGCCACCGCTACCCGCTACCCGCTACCCACTGCCCGCTCCTTTTCCTTTTCTCGGTTTTGGCTTCTGCCTCGACTTTGCCTTTGGTTTGCGCCTCGCTGGCTCTGCACTTAATCTTTAAGTGGTTCGCTGCTTTTTGCCACGACGGTGCATTAGTTGCTCAGTGTCTGGCCACGTACATAGCTACCTAAGAGACTCCTCTGCATGCCACTCCTGCTGTAGCCTCCTGCAACCTGGGGGAGGCAACAAGAAACTAATCCAGACTAGTGTAACTTTCGTTGAATGAAATC